GCAAAAATTCAGATGCTTTGAGTGCTTTGGGTGTTTTCAACTGCTCATACACATCTTGTAATGATGCCATGTCCCTTGACGTCTTTGCATGTCCTTCAAAGCTTCATAGTTTACAATAAAATAAACTTAATACAATTAAGCATGTATGTGACAATAATTCTGTGAGTTAGTTAAGCCAGTCATGCTGTTACAGTCAAACCTCTATTAAGCGGCCACCCCCTATTAAGTGGCCAGTTATGAAAGTCCCAAAGTTATTGTCAGTATGATACTGTGAATAAAACCCCTATTAAGCGGCTACCTGATGATATACAAAGGAACATACTACAGTGATTAGTTCCTGTTGAAAATAATTGTGTCCATATTTTAAAAATAAATTGGCTACAAGGCAATCAGTTCATCATCTCACTGATCAGTCTCAAATTTAGGGTCTATATAATTTATTCACAAATAAAAAATATAATATATATAATATGCAAAAACTATGTTTATCTCACCCATTGTCTACACTGTTCCAATGAACTTTCATGACAGCTTTCACCACTTCAAACATGACCTCTCCTGTGTGCATAGACTTAGGGTATCCGTGTTCCATTCTTTCCTCAATGTAAGTGGCATATGACTTTCTAGCCTCCTGTAGATGTTGTGAGTTAATACCATAAGACTGATTGTTTGCAGACAGGAATTGTTTGAGTGATGACACTGATGGGAACTCTTGAGGGCTTCATATGCTGCAGGACTCGTGGTGAAGATTGCAAGTGCAATATGATAGGTGGTTGCACTCCATCGGTTTGCTGTTTTTCCCATTCCTGTTATAGACAAGAAATGACACACATGCAATAGCTGCAGGTACTGCAATCTGACATTCGGTAGGGATAAACTTCAAGTGCATTAGAAGGGAGCTTATAATAATTCTAAGCTCGCTTTCAGTGCACTTGAAGTTTAATTATTAATTTAATTATTAACACATTTACACCTAAACTGGCCATAACCGACCAAGAGGAGACCACAGACTTGTACCATTTGTGACATCATCACTGTTCACGCCAGAGGATGACTTTGATATTCAACTAATGGAGTAGAAAAATGTGTAACAAAGCATGCCTATCCGAGCACAAAATTGGGCCAGAGATACACACAAAAAACGAGACCACCAAAATCACCAAAAAGGCCACCTTCCCTACCATTGACACTATGTTGAAACAGTTCACTTTCCTCAATGTTTAGGGGAAACTTTTCCTACATGAACAAAAGCGACTGAAAGGCCAACAAAACCACAATATAAAATGAGAGAAAAAGGGAGAAAGAACAGCCAAGAAAGGAAACTAAAAGCCTGAAGTGTGTGTCCAAATTTTGATTTCTGCGCATGCCCAAGGGAAATATTGAATTCATTGCTTTTAAGTAGAAGGGGATGTGGGTTTCTATGTTGCAGACTAAGTTTTAGACAGTTGGGCAGTAAACGGTGGCAATAACGGCCAGAAATAGGCATCTCTGCATCTGATGTTCGATTGCCGTTTTTTGGAAAAAGCCCAGGTGTCAATGGGTTAAGCAAAGAATGTTGTTTTCGGAGAAATGGCCTTTTTTAACATACCTTTGATCAATCTATCAATAGAAAGTTGAAATGGTTGAATGGACCACAAGAATGGATTTCTGGAGTTTTGAGTAAACATTTTAAAATAAGATGACAAATTTAACAGGCATATGCTTCATGGTTTTATTACTATAGCATTAAATCTATAAATTATTGAGACAGTAGAGATGCATTTGTAACCGTGAAAAATTATTTGTGCAGGAGAGACGGTAAAAATGCATTTGTGCGGTTTGACTGGAGGAAAACTCCATCAAATGATATGCTTAATGTTGTTTCATCCCAAAAAGGATTAGGTTTTTTATACATATTATAAATGGACTTTCTATTCTCTTTCGCTTCGCTCAGCCGAATAGAAAACATTTCTATTATAAGTAATGACGCAAACAACACAACAGTTTGTGGAGGGAGCCGCCAGCAATTATCGAGTTTATTAACAAGGATTTGAATAGTGCTAAATACAAGAATCGTGATAAATAGTAGTAAATACAAGATACAAAAACAGGAAGAAGCAGTCGAAAGTAACCTGAAATAATACAATAAACAAAATAACAAAGGTAAATGAAATGAAAAATAGCCTCGAGTAAACTGGTCGGCGTCAAGTGGTGTGATATTAACAAGGAGTGGTTTATAAAGGGTCTGATTGCCCCTATGGGAAGGCTAATTAACAACTAAAAGAAATACATCACTGTTGATATTCTGATGCTTCCAAAATGCTTTCCTGTCCTCAACATCCCTTGTCCAAATTGACTTCATGACCTTTCCTTTCCCTTCTCCTGCTGTCTCGTCTTCATAAAAAAATATTGTCTAGTTCCTTTTTAAACTTGGATGAAATTGTTCCACTGATTTCCAGCATTTGGTTGGAGAACTGAGGGGACAAGGGGAATTGACATTTTTTGTTCAATCTTTTCACTTGTTCAAGTCTACAAACAATGGAGATCACAGTTCGCCATTGGCTTTTTCAGACTATTAAGAAACTTCCAATAATATTGCACTTTGATGAATTGGAAATACATTCGTTCTCATTTCTGCAACATAGCTTTCAACTTGTGATACAGCTTTTTGCAATTACAACACATCGTGAAGATCTGAATCAGGCATTTGTTTCCTGTTTCAAGGCTTGTGAAGGATATAACAATATTTACTGTCAGTGAATGGGAAAACCTCATGATCTTATAACTGTGAAGTCAACATTTTAGGCTGTTTTCAGACCAGGACAAATCACATAATCGGTGGCTGTGCGAATTAGGTAAAGAAGGTCTTGTTCGTCATTAAGCGTACCTTTCAACACATTGCAACAATGTTTTGGCAGTGTAGTCCCCATTTGCAGAAACATGAATTAAATCAGAGAAACACCAGTGACTGATAATAAACTTGGGTCATACCAGGACAGATATTTTTCTGTTATACAGCAGTGTTCACCGTCTGCATAACTCCACATACTCACCTGCAAGTGAGGGGCTTTTAAGCTAACAAATGTTACGATGCGTTGAACCTTATTGCTTTGTGTTGTTTCGTTGATGCTGGTTCAGCAAGGTGATTGGATGACTTTTTCGTTCACCTGTCGATATGCTGTCTGGATCATTTTGGTACACAACATTCCCTCCTTTGTCAAATTTGACCTCTACAGCTTTCCTTTTTTTAGGTTTATCATTTTTTTATTATTTTTTTTAACTACTTACATCAATTTGCTTACATTACATTACTGAAAATACAGTACATTACTTACAACGCTTCGGGGAGTTCGAACGAGTTGCAATTTGTTTTTCTATTTCACTCTTATTAAAAACTAAGGCTTGCAAAGATAAAGGCTCTTCCTTAATACTACAGCAATATATAATATTTTGCAATCAGTAGCAAATGATTAGTGAGTCTACTTAAGTTGTTTGTTTCAAGAATTCCATACATAACTTTGACAATCGAGAGGTCAATTATTGTCGAAGCTGTGTTAAACAAATCCCAGAATTGAGCCACAATAGGACAGGAATACAACATGTGTTTAAGATCTTGTCTATCAGATTTACATAAGAAACAACTGCTATCATTTGTTAGCTTGGTCTTGAACAATTTGCTTTTTGTAAAAACTATATTGTGTACAATTTTGAATTGAAACATAACTAATGGAGAAAGCTAATTTGTAATAATCGATTATTCGTCCTTTTCCATACCATTGTCTACGAGACGCTGTTGAGATTGTCTAATCGGCGTGGGTGGGTGGGTCGTGCGTCGTGGGTCCGAGATTGACACTTCATCACTCATATACATGAATTCAAATGCCATCTCGCAACAGCAGTTGTTATTTTGCCCCGGTGGATTTCTGGCGTGTACGTGTGGTGCTTAACAAGGTCAATTTGAATTCGCTACAAAATGACATGTTAAAAAAGGCCACAGAATATTCGCCAATGACAGAGGCTCTTAAGGTTGTGTGCTTTCATTCAAATATGTTTACTTTGGTGAAGGTGTTACGTTGACATTATCGCTGTTCTAGTGGTTCACAACATCTTTTTTTATTTATTTAAGACTGAAAAAATCTTGAAATAGACAAGAAGACCTTCCAAACGATTTTATAGACCAGGACAACCTTCCTCAGTTTGGCTGATAAGCCAATCAGTTACTTCTCTACTGCCAGTTGTATGAAATTGGAACACTTAAATCAGGAAGGAGTTCATATGTGGATGTGGGGATCAATAGGAAACTGGTGTCGAAACATTTCCGTTGGATTCCTGGGAGAATGACTTCAATTAAGTTGTTCACGGGATATATGTCAACGATAATATAAATGCTTTTATTCAGTTTACAATAATGGTCGCTCGGTTACCCTGCGAGCAGAGTCCCCGTCAATCTTCCTAGGAGGAAGATCGAAAAAAGCGACTCTGCTCGCAGGGTATCGCTCAGTACACTGTTTAGCGAATAAAATTGGGCGAACTGAAATAAAACTCCGCTCCTGTGAAAGGCCGGTCAACAATAACTGAGTTCAACACAACAGGGAAATTTCCTTTCGCGACAGTGCTGGGCAATATATGTAAGTTTTGATGTCTCATAAATTGAAATGTTAACGCAAAGTTCCTTTGTTCGTGCATCTGCAGCCCTAATTCATCTTGACCATGGTGGAATCTGCTGAAGACAATCCATGCGCGGACAGAAGTAGAAACTTAACTCAACCGCAAAATTGTCCGGCAGACATGAAGGGAAAAACAACGAAATTGCGCGCCAGACATGAAAGAAAAATGTTTTTACTCAATAGAAAAAAGGTTTTCCTATTAAAAGGGAACTAATCAGTGAGAATCCTTCTTTTCATCATGGGCCAGCACGACGCACGACGCATGACCCACGACCCACCCACCCACGCGATATAGCCTCACCCGACGCTGTTGTATTGCTTTGGTTGTTAAGTTATTTGGCTCTAACCAAGGGAGGCAGTGTGGCCGAGTGGTTTAGGGCGCTGGATTTGAAATCTGGAGGTCCCTTGTTCAAATCCTCCATCCTGCCACTAGCTGGATTTGCTCTCGGTAGTCCCGAGTTAAACTCCTCGGCCACGCTTGTAAATAGCCAACTGGACAGCCTCCCACCAGTTGGGATTCTTAACAAGTTTATGTTATATTTACAATATTTGTTTGTTCATTATTTACAGTGTCCACAATAGTACAGCAGTGCTAAATCCTCTGACACTTAAATAAAGTTGTTTATTTTTTAATTTTATTTTAATTTTTTAACAATTGCTGTGGTGGTTGATTCTGCTGGTTTTCTTGTGCCTTAATCACTTTCCTACTTCTGGCGGAATAGCCTTAACTAAACCACCATAAGCTAGGAAATTGGTTTGAATTTGATATTTAAAGCTAAATACATCATATGTTAAAAAATCAGAGTTTTCATCAAGGAGGTTGTCTATAAAGGTAATATTTTTATCAAACCAAGTACGCCAGAAAATGGTCTTATTATCTACTTTAATGTCACGGTTATTCCAAATTATGGTTTTCTTTGCATCTCTTAGCTCATACCAATATTGTAATACTCTTTCATAAAATGGAGGCAGATTGTTTATATTATTGTCTTTAGCATTAGATTTGCAAGATAAAAGAAAATTAAGAGGCCCTGACTAGAAATTTTAAGAATTGCTGGCCAAGCTTGAAAAATCAAAAATCGTAATAATCCGGCTGAAGGACACTTTTGGAGAACTATCTTCGAAAATATTATTTTAACTTTCTGGAAATTTATATTTTTCGAGAAATTTGGAAAAATCAAAATTACGGGTTTTGCCTCATTAAAAACTCTTTGAACAGTGCAAGCACTGTTGATACATTTTTTGCATTTTTCCATGAATTCCTTGCATTGTGTCAGAGGCAATTATACATAAAAAATTCAGCAAATAATCTGTGAACAGCGCAATAACTGGCGACACATTAACCATTTTGATTCCCTTACATTTTATTAGCCTGTAATTTTACCGAAAAATAACCGGACACAAAAATCTATAGTATAATATAGTAAGGATCAAGCACTTTTCTTGTAAAAATACAAGAAGAGATGGACCTTAATTAATAATGTAATAGTAATTAGTGAGCTCACTAAGATAATCGAATATTACTGAGAAAGAGGAAAACCGCAGTAGGTCTAAAAATCTCTTCAGGGGTTCAGTATTAGACCTAGGTTAAGGACCGGAAGTGATTATCACGCCGGGGAAAGAGAGTTAAACCGCGAGGGGAACTGGAACCGAGTAAACGCACAGGTTTGTTTCAGAGGGAATTTTGATAAATTGTTGGGAAAGAAGTCCTTGAACCACATGTTTCGAACTACGGCACCGTAGCAGAACCCGACATGCCTGCATTTTGGCTTTCATCTTCACAGTAAGTACTCTAATAATTACTTACCGTAAAACTCCATGTATAAGCCGCACCCGTAGATAAGCCGCACCCCCAATTTGGAAGCTCAATTTTGGGGAAAAAAGATGAGACAAGTTGCGTTTGGTAAACAAACAAGTACAGTTTCAGAACAATAAATGATGCGGTTGTTACAAACTTTCACATTTATTAACTCTTTATACGGTCAAATCTTACTTGTCATACCTTGTATGCTCGAGATCACCATGTCTTGAACTTAAAATGCTCTTTTGTTTTGATTTTTTCTGCATTGTTGCTGCAAAACACGTTCAAATGAAATGTACGAAGCGATAGCTTGGTAACCAAGCATTTACAAGTAGAGAGAAGTCTGGGCACCACATCGTGGGATCGTAAGAGTTTGCATTTGTGTATTTGTCCGAGGATCTTTTGAGATGTTTGGGAACTTTCAATAGCAGAAAAGGCAAGAAGTAAAAAACATTGAATGGTCGGCCATTTACCACGCAACTTGAAAAAACCACGAAAGAACTACCGAGGAACAAGGTCAACAAGATGTGCACGTGCCGATGAAAGTTTTTGACACAAACAGCTCCTTGAGCAACTACCGATCATAAATGCAATGATTAACAACAACATACTTTCAATATATAAAAAATGTTCTCTGGTTAAAAATTTTAAAACTATAAGCTTTCGACAACCGTCCTGTTGTCTTCAACGGATAAAAATGTGGAGAAAGCGAATGTGCGTACATGATCAAAAGTAAAAAAATTAGCATACGCGAAAGAATTTAAAACTAGGGAGTAAAAAGGTGCGAAAGTCATTTCTTTAAAAGAATGCGGTATTGACTTGGAAGCGGGCATGAGTTATTGTCAGCGTCAACAGTTTTTGAAGTGTGCCAAGACTCAAGGGTTTTAAGGTGGCGATAATTGCCTTTGTCAATAATAGAAGCATTGTCAAAGTCGATGTGATGATTGTTGGACCAAGCATGGTTCGCGACATTAGAGCCTTTGGTGTGCATTTTTACATTTCTGGTGTGTTCTTTCTTTCTGGTGTTAAATGACCTCCCGGTTTCGCCAATGTAACTCCACGGACATGAGGTGCAAGGAATTTTGTAAACAACATTGCATTGATCATCTTTTTTCGGACGGAATTTTGGAGCAGGGAATTCTTGTTGAAGTGTTTTCATCGGTTTATTAGTGACTTGTATGTCGTGACTTCTGAGCAAACGCGTTAGTGGTTCTGTGAGGCCTTTAATGTACGGAAGGGTCGCGAATTTTCGTGGACACAGGTCAGCCCATTTGAAAAACATTCCGACAAGATCTTCAGGTGTGGGGACTGGTGGTGGGAGACTCTTCTTCCTTTCGATGTCGGCAATGAGATTTCTAGGGTAGCCATTGGATTGTAATGCGGTATAGACCCGTTTGATTTCTTGTTCCTTCCCAGTTTCAGAGTTGGGTAAATTTTTTGCTCGATGTAGAAGAGTCGCAGCAGTGCTAACTTTGTGTTTCTTGTCATGATGAGAATGGAAATCCAGGTATCTATCAGTGTGGGTAGGTTTCCGATAGACGTGAATAGAAAGTTTACCATGGTCCCGAGAGACCAGGGTGTCAAGAAACGATATCTGACAATTGTTTTCGTGTTCAATAGTGAAAGAAATGTGAGGGTCGATGGAGTTCAGTGAATCATGGAAGGATGATACTGCGTTCTTTTTTAAGATACAAAAACTATCATCCACATAGCGTTTCCAATATCTCGGGGGAACGGGGGTTGAGTTGATAGCGGAATCCTCAATTTCCTCCATGCATGTGTTGGCTACAACGGGGCTGACAGGGCTGCCCATAGCGCATCCTTGTATTTGCTTGTAGATATTGTCGTTATAAACGAAATAATTGTTGGACAGAACAAAGTCTAATAGAGAGACGATGTCATCAATGTCTAATTTTGTTCTGGAGTGCAAAGAAGGGTCGTCTTCAAGTTTCTTTCTGATGTAGTTACAAGCTTTGTCAACGGGGATGGCGGTGAATAGAGAGACTACATCAAAAGATACCATAGTTTCATCATCTTGGATGACAATGTTAGATGTTTCTTTAGAAAACTGTAATGAGTTTGAAACTGAAAAAACCATTGCGGTTTTGAATAGGAGCCAGGATGTTGGTGAGGAATTTAGAAGTGTTGTAGAGTGGAGAGCCCATACATGTTACGATGGGTCTGAGAGGATTACCAGTTTTATGATGTTTGATAGAGCCGTGGATAGCGGGTGGTGTGCCATCAGTAGATCTTAGTTTAAAATAAGTTGAGTCATCAAGTTTTTGTTGTTTCTTTAAATTCAGAAGCATAGCATTGAGGTTACGTTCTATTCGGCGGAATGGAGATCTGGTGATTAGGTCGTACGTGTTTCGGTCAGCAAGAAGGGATTCCATTTTGTTGTCATAATCATCTCTATCCAAGACTACGAAGCAGTTTCCTTTGTCAGCTTTCATGATGACTCTGGAGGTGTCTTTTCTTTAAGTCACGCAGCGCTATGTTTTCTTCTTTAGTGGTGTTCTTATGGTTTGGTAACTGGGCTCGGTGGAGGATCGTAGCCGTGGAGGTCCGTATTTCGTCTCTGGATTCTGTAGGTAAATGTTTGGTGGCAGCTTCAACTTCAGCGACAATATTCTTGTACGGAATTACAGAAGGAGTAGGGGAGAACTTAGGGCCTTTCTCTAGAAGGGAGCATTCTGTATCTTGTAGAGGTTTCTTGGAGAGGTTGATGACCCAGTTGCTTTTATCTAGAGGTTCAGTTGAAAAATTCTTTAAATTCGCAAGCTTCTTAGCGTGTCTGGCGTTGATATTGTTATGAACGGAGTGAGCTCTTCCTTGGATGAATTGTGTGAGGGAAGAGATGGTTGTGCTGTCAATGAGAGGAGACAAATCTTGTTTGGTTTCGTCGATGATCTTGTTTGACGATTTAATTTGATCATGGCAGATGGAAATGCTTGCTCTCATGCAATGTTTGCTAGCACGATCCATTATACGTTTAAAGATTGGCTGACTGCTTGGTGGTTTGAATCTCAAAGACTTTGGAACCAGTTGGTTTTGGAGAGCTGTGTGAGTGAAATGGAGATGGCGATGGTGAGCTTAACTCATGCCCGCTTCCAAGTCAATACCGCATTCTTTTAAAGAAATGACTTTCGCACCTTTTTACTCCCTAGTTTTAAATTCTTTCGCGTATGCTAATTTTTTTACTTTTTATCATGTACGCACATTCGCTTTCTTCACATTTTTATCCGTTGAAGACAACAGGACGGTTGTCGAAAGCGTATAGTTTTAAAATTTTTAACTAGAGAACGTTTTTTATATATTATTATGAATCCTGGTTACGGCCCTTCAATTTTCTTAACATACTTTCAGTTTGTTATATGTTTATTTAGTAACATCTTAAGATATTTTTTATGAATATTAATTAGGCCACTGAGAACCCCAATCGCAGATGGTGCCGTAGATAAGCCGCACCCCCGATTTTGAACCCAAATTTTGAGTAAAAAGGTGCGGCTTATACAAGGAGTTTTACGGTATATTATGAAATGTTGCTTACATGATTGTTTTGGCCCGACGGACCGGCTTCCACAAACTCTCCATTCATCTGTTTGAGCAAATAATTCCTCGCGAAGCGAGGCCGA